CATAAAACAAACAACCTACTTTTAAAGGAAGTTGTATTTTAAAAGAAAAGACTGATAATAAGAAAAAAACAAAAACAACACAAGTCAACAAAAATGGAATAATGAAAGAACCAATATCAATACCCTATAACGATGATTTCAACGAACTATACAAAAAAAAAATATTTGAATTTTACAACAAACTGGAGAATTACTAAAAAATCCTAATGAGTTAAAGCAATGAGCAACAATAAAAGAAAATGTTCCTATAAGAAAACAAAGTTGTGAAGAAGAATATTCTAATACAAAATCACCTAAACAACACCATATTAACCCAATAATCATATAAACTTCAAATGATGTGGAATATTGAATACTAATAAAAAGAATGTCAAAAATAATTGGAAGTGACTTTATTAAAGATCGTAATATTGGATATTCTTTAATTGAATTATTAAATAAAAATATTAATGCAAATATCCATCCAATTATTATAAGAAGAAGTTGCATGAGAACTAAAAATTACTAATTAACGTTAAATTACAGTTCTGATTTTTTTTTATTCAAATTGAGACAAATTAATAAGATAATTAGTCTATAAATATATTATATAAAACCCATAATTTTTTTTCATTTTTTATTTTTTTTAATATCTATAAAACAAAATTAAAAATAATAGAAATAATATGATGATGAAATGAGTCTCCGAATAATATTGAGGACAAATCTTTCGCTCCTATCTGATTGTTTCTTTTTAGTTTTATAAAAATTATTAAAAATATTTTGTTATTAAAAAGAGAAAAATCTTTGTTTTGATATTGTTGAGATTATTCTCTTTTTGTATTTAAATCTCCAAATCTTTTTTTCCGTGAACTTAAAAATAATTATTAACAAAAGTATTTTTTTAATAAAAGATAAATAAAATAATGATTTAATTTTTGAGAAGTTTTTGACACCAAATATAGAGAATAAATGGAAAACAGTTCACAAGACGTCGATCTTATAAACGAGTTTTTACAATCTTAAAATTAACAGATTAATGGAAAAGAAACGTAATTCAGCTGTTGATGGTCCTTTATCATCTTCAATGATTTTGGCTGCTGATAAGACACAATATGAAATGGCAACTGAGGACTATGAAAATACTATATTAGTATTATTAAAGAGTAGATTATTATTAAAGAAAATTATTGAACAAAAAATGTATCAAGACCGTATTAAGAGAGGTAATTTAACTGCTAAAGAGATTTCTGACCTTTTGAAAAATCAAGGAGAAGAAGAAGACGAAGATTTCATCTTGAAAATTACTGATCTTAGAAGAACATTGTTAAATGAAATTAGAAAGAATGCAGGACTTGAAAAAGACATTCAAGATATGGAAATGAGAATTACTTTATTAGTCCAAAATGCTGGTGCTGTATTAACCAAAGAAAAGAAAAAGAAGAAGAAGGTTGCTGAAAATGCACAAGTTAAAGAAACCATTTCAAATGATAAACTTCAATTATATGGTAATTTGTTTTATTTACTTCAATCTGACCCAGTCTATGTAGCTCGTTTAATCAATTGTATCTCACAAACTGAGTCTGATGTTAGAGAAATTGTAGATTCAATTATTTTGACATTGTATGGTAATGCTATGTCAGACAGAGAAGATTATTTGATTTTAAGTGCTATTAAATTGGCTTTGGAACAACAAATGTCTACATTAACATCTCTTTGGACAGCTATTCAAGATCAATCAGTTATTCCTCAAATGATTATTGCTTATACCAAAAGAACACAAGGAAAAACATTTTTAAATGAAGTATTTGGTCCATGTATGCAAAGATTTAATAGAGAATTTCCAAGTCATAGAAAATTAAATCTTGATGGAAAGAAAATTTTAGATGAATTAATCAATGAAACTGAACAAGCTACTGGAGTTAAATCTAATTTAAGAAATGTTCCAGTTGATAAAATTCAAGATGAACCAGAAATTAAGAAAATCATTTCTGAAAGAGTAACATCATTAAAAGAAGGTTGTAATATCTTTTATGATACTATTATTTCAGCAATTAATAAATATCCATATGGTTTAAGATATTTATGTAAAGTTATTAATGAGAATTCAATGGAAGCTTTCCCTAATACTACCGAAGCAGAATTATTATCATATACAGGTTATTTCATGTTCTATAGATTTGTTGGTAATTATATTGCATCATCATCAAATGAAACACAACAAGGATTTGATGCTATTCAAAATATTTTGTTGATTAACAAGATTCTTCAACAATTATTCCAACAACAAAGTCCATTCCCAGTAAATGATACTAATAAATGGATGGTTCCAATGAATGATTGGATTTCTGAAAGATGTGAAGCTGTTAAAGTTTTCTTGAAAGAATTTACTGATGTAGAACCACCAGAACAAAAAATGCAAATTGATAAATATATGGCATTAATTCAAGATGTTAAACCTACTATTCTTATTGAACCAACAGAAATTTCTATGTTCCATACAGAAATTAGAGACCATTTAGATGATCTTGCACCAAATAAAGAAGATCCTTTACATAGAATTATTGATGAATTAGGTGATGTTGAACAATATAATTCTAATGAAACTGTTACACTTACACTTACTCCAAAATATATTTCACAATCACTTGAGGATGAAGATCAAACTCTTTATAATAGAACTAAGAGTTTAATGCTTGGATTCTTTAAAGTTATTGCTAATTCTGAAGCACAACCCGTTACTCTTGAAGATGTATTAACAGAAACAGAAAAAATTGCTAAACAAAAGAATAATGAAACAGCCTTAAAGAATATTGAAGAAGTGAAAAAAAATATCAAAACTCTTGAAGAGAAAAATTTAGTTTCAAAAGAAGATGGATATAAGGCATTACTTAAAGATGTTGCATTAGAAATTGCTAATAGAGCTGAAATTAAAGAACAACAACAAAAAGAATTAACTCGTCTTGAAGTTAGTATTAAAGCTACATTAAAGAAACAAAAAGAACTTCAAGATGTTTTAGCATCATACAAAGATTATTGCCAAACTTGTGTCCAAAGAGTTTTCCAAGGAAAAGGAAAGAAAGGAAAGAAAACAACAGAAGGTAAATTATTTAAACCTAAAGAATATTCATACAATGATTTGGTTAAAAAGGGTGTTATTGTTTCATCTGTTATTCCAAAAGGAATGAGAAAAATGACAAAAATTATTATTTCATCTGAAGAAGTTGGTGTGTTTAATGTCCAAGTTAAATTACCAGCTATTGCTTCAGAAAATGTTGATATTAAATTAGAAGAGTTACTTGAAATGAGAGCTAAAGGAACAAGAACATTAGATATTAATTCACAAATGGAATTAGATGTTAATATGACTATTTATGTCATGAACCAACTAATTGCAAAATGAATTTATTTCGTTTTTTATCTTTAAATTATTGTTTCTTTTTATTTTCAAATTGAATTATTGTTATAAAATTTTTAAAGTATTTTTATTATTATTTTTAATTAAATTCTAAGAAGAAGTTTCTTGTATTATTTGAACTAAAGTGATTAAAAGAAATTTAAAAACCAATTTAAAAAAATTGAGTTTTTTTAAAAAACATAATGAGTAAGTCTTATTTAATTCATGAATAAAATAACAGAAAGATTTGTTAAAATTGGTTACTGTATTTAGCAACAGTTCATTTGAAAATAACAAAATAATTAATATAAAGAAATGAAACAAAAATTAAAAATTGGTTATAAACAACTGAGTGTTATAAAAGATAAAAATAGAATTTAATAACACCTTTAGAATAGAAAAGTAAAGCGAAAAATAAAGGAAATATTCCTTTCAATCCATTTAATATTTATAAATGTATTAAATAAAATATTATTTAAACTATTTAACTTAATAAGTAAGGAAATTCAATTATTTTTGTTTATTCAACTTTAACATAAGTACCATTAGCAATTTCCTTTTCTCTTCTAGCTTGGACATTTGGTTCACCAACCATTGATTGTTCAGTTGCAGTATACACAGGTTCTTTATCAAGATCTCCAACTTTAATTTCTTTAGCATAATCATGAAGTTTATCCCAAACTTCTTGAGTATTTTTCATATATTTAGAATATGTCTTCATGAAGCCAGAACAAATTTGACCAAAGTTAGAAGTAATTTCATCAAGAACTTTCTTAATATCAACACTAAGTTCATCTCTTAAATATTCCCAAGAATCTCTAGCATTAGTATAATTAACTTTAAGATCACTTAATCCAACTTGTTTATTTTCTGGTTTCTTAAGCATATCATGATAAGCATGTTCTGCCTTTTCCATTGCTTTACCTCTTTCATCTAAAATCTTAACTCTCTTTTCTAAGACTGTAACTGCTTCTAAGTACATTTTCAATGGTTTCATAACTTTCTTTTGTAATTTTTCTTCATATTTCTTTGCTTTTTCATCATTTTCTTCAATAATTTTAATAGATTCATTAAATGGATTTGGATCACATGTAACAACATCTGCACAAAGCTTAAGTGCCTTCTTATGTTCATCATATTGTTCTTTAGCATCTTTACCTAATTTTTCAAACTTTTCTTGAGCCTTCTTAATCTTAGCACTTAAAGCAAGAAGATCTTTTTTATCTTTTTCAATTTGTTCACATACTACATCTTTAGGCTTTCCTTTAAGATCATTTGAGACGTTCTTAAGTCCGTCATTAAGTTTTGAAGTCATCTTCTTAAACATGGTTGTCTTTTCTCTTTAGATAAAAGTTCCTCAAAAACAATCCTTTAAATAGTTTAATGACTTTTTCTACAACCTTCTTTTAAAAAGACGTGTCGATGATTTGTGTTGTGTTGTTCTCAAGTTCTACTGTTAGTTCTTTCGTTTTTAGTTTCTACTATATTTAGTAACATTCTTTATAAAAATAAAGAATATTATTTTTAAAAATAGGATTATAAAATCATTTTTTCAATTCAGTTTATTCAAAAAAAAAAAAAGGAAATGGAAAAAAAATAAAAAAAAAAGAAATGGAAAAAGAAAATGTCAAAGAAATTGTACAACCAATTTCTTGAAGATTATATTTCTACAGTACTTTATCAAAGCCACATTTATCCTGATTGTGTGTTATTATTAGTATTATTAATTTCATTTTATATTTTATAATAAATGACAAATAATAAAATAGATTGTTTTAAAAGAATACAACTACAAGAAACCATTGTAGTTTATCGTCCAATTTCGCTTTTATTAGAACAATATATAAAAAAAGTAGTTTCATTATTACCACAATTTCAAGCATTAAAAATTCAAATTCAAAAATTACCTACATTGAATCCAATTTATGAATGGTTTTTGCTAAATACTTTTTCAATAGAAGATTCAAGTTCTGTTTTTGAATCACTTCTTCATCAACAAGTTATTTGTGATTATGGAACTGTAACTTTTCAAATCTCAGCATTAACTCACCAATCAAATTCAAAATGGAAACCACAAGAAGTAGAATTTTTTGGTGATACACAAACATTACAACCTATTAATGAATTAGGATGTTGTGTTTTGTTTAGACATTTCTGAGAAATGAAAAAATGTAATAAAAGGAAAAAATACTATTTAATAAAATATTTTTTTTTTTTAATGGAAAGAATATGAAAATTTTTATTAGTTAACAATAATTATGTTTTATTTTTAAGGAAAGAATTTACTCAAAATTGTATTTTTAGTTATACTTTATTATTTAGATAGAACTAAAAATAAAGAACCACACTTAAAAAAAGAATTGTATGAATAAAAAGAGCTTTATTCTTCAAGTTGAAAGTAATTTAAAAATGTTTCAATTGCTTTTCATTATTTTATTTTAATTTTTTTTTTGGAAAAAAAATTAAAAAAAAAACTTAATTTAAAAACTTAAAAACTCTCAAGTTTGATGGAAAAGTATATCGATTGGGTCAATGAACATATCACTAATCCTTCGTTGTACATTTCTTCAATACAGGATATAAGAGAAGGACATGCGTTATTAGCTATTATGAAACAAATTACTCATACTAATGTTAAAACAGATACACCACTTCAAACTGCATTACAATTAGCAGAAAAGCACTTTGGAAAATTAGAGGGGTTAAATATTCAAAAGATAGAAAAAGGTGATGAAAAACAAATTATAGCGTTAATTGGGTTTTTAATGAAAAAAGAAAAGAGTACAATGAGAAAACTTTCTGACACAATATATAAAAGTGAAATAATGAATCAGTCATTTAGAAGAAGAGCTTTTACAGTTAAAAAGGATGGAAAGAAAGTTGAAGTTGTAAGAAATGAACCTATTGTTAGTGCATTTGTTGAAAATAACGAGTCAGTTCAACCTAAAATTACAGCTCGACCAATTAGACATAACGTTAAACCCCTTAATTTAAAACCAATTATTCAAGAAGAAACCAATGAAGAAAAACAAAAAGAACCAGAAATAAATGGTTCACAAGAACTCATATTTCCAGAACCCTCTCAAATAACAAAAACAGAAATACCACCAACACCAACAAAAGAGGTAACACCAGAATTAATTACTTCTGAAAGAAAAGAACGTAGAGAAAAGAAAAGACAACAAATTGAAAAAGAAAAAGAAAAATTAAGAAAAATGGAAGAAAGTAGAAAAGAAAGAACAATGAAAAAAGAAGAGTTAAAAAGAATGAAAGAACAAATGATTATAGAACACTCAAACTCACCTCAAAAAGATGTTGATACTTCACTTTTAACTAGTCCTGAACCAGAAATTGAAAAAGAAGAAGCTATTGAAGAAGTATTTAGAGGTGTATTTATGTTAGAAGGAAATTATTATATTGTTAATGAAGAAGGAGATGGTGGAGAATTAGTTGAATATGTTTGTGAACATTATAATGAAATGGTTACATCATGTGCACGTAGTTTGATAGTGTCATATCAATATAATGAAGAAATAAAACGTCAACAAGAAAAAATGAAAGCATTAGATGCACGTGTAACACAAGAACACATTAATTCTATTGTTGCAATACAAACAAAAATTAGATGTAGAAATGCTCGACATTTACCAGAAATTCGAGGAATGAAAGAACGAAAGAATTTAGTAAAAGAATTAATTGAAAGTGAACATAAATATGTTGATAATTTAAAAATATTAAAAGAATATTATCTTGAAAAAATACTTGAAGAAAGAGAAGATAAAACAATAAGAAATTGTTTTAAAAATTTAGAAATGATTGTTAAATATAATGTAATTCTATTAAAAGACCTTGATGATATGTCAAAGAATTGTGTATATGGAGAAGGAGTATCTTCAGTATTTAAAAAGTTTACTGGTTTTTTAAAATGTTATACTGTTTATGTTAATTCATATGACACAACAAATGATTATTTTGTTACTTTAAATTCAAAGAATAAAAGATTTATGGATTTACTAAAAAAATTAAGTCTTCAAAAAGAAGTAAAGAATTTAAACATATTTTCATATTTAATTCTTCCAATTCAACGAGTTCCACGATATGAATTATTTATTAGAGGAGTATTAAAGGTTCTTCCTAGAACTCACAAAGAATATAAAGGACTTCAAGATTTAATGAATGAAATTAAAAAGATTGGAGATTATTTAAATGAAAGAAGAAGAGAATCAGAGAATAAACAATTATTAATGAAATTTAAACATCATTTAGAAATAAAAAAATTTGATTTAATGGATGACGATAAAAGAAGACTTGTTAAATATGGAGCTATTCAAAGTAAAGAATATGGACCATTAATTATTTTCTTATTAAGTGATGTATTACTTGTTCATAGAGCAAAACAAGAAGTAAAAGATGTTGATGCTTTATTAGAAAAAAATAAACTTAAAATTAAAGATATTATTCCATTATTTGGAATAGGTATTTATAGTGAAGGAGATAATACTTTTAGTGTTGTTTCTAAAAAAATGATATTTACTTTTATTGCAGAAAATGAAGAAGAAAAAGGAGATTGGATGATGGCATTTGATGATATTTTATCAAGAGAACATAATAGTGCTATGTCAAGATTAAACACAATTAGACAATCTGAAACTGTTAAATCAAATAAAGTTGATGATATCTTTTATCAAGGTTATCTTAAAATGTCATTAAAAATGTTTGAAAAATATGTAGGTGGTATTGTATCGTTTAATACAAATGTTGATTTAACTAAGAAAAGATTAGATGGAAGTCCTAATATTGATAAAAAAAATAGTCCAATGCAGACACCAAGAAAGGTAGCAGCTACACAAGTGTTATTAAGTCCACGATTAAATTCATCGTTTAGATCACCAAGATCAGTTAGAATAAATAATGATCATGAAGAAGAAAAAGATAGATATTGTGTTATTGATGGAGAAGAACTTATTGTTTATAACTCAGTAAAAGACTCTTTAAAGAAAGCGAATTGGCATATGAAAGTAATATTAAGTGGAGTGTCTGTTGAAGCTGTTGTTGCAATTAATAATCCAGCAGCATTTCAAATTAATATTAGTGGTAAAACTACTTTTGTAACTGCTCCATCAAGTGAAGATAAATGGAAATGGCTTACAGTTTTCCGTGATGCATTTTATCGTTCTGCAAAAGATAAGTTGATAGAACTTAAAATTCTTCAACCAAAACAAGATATTGTTTTTTGTTATCCACCACCACCACTTTTCATTGCAGAAAGAGGACAATTTAGCAATTATTTAGATATGGTATTAAGTATTCCTACAAATTCTGTTTGTGCTGATTGTGGAGATCATAAAATTGTTTGTGCAGATACAACATATGGAGTATTTTTATGTAGAGACTGTTCTAATTGTCATAAAAACCAATTAAAATCAGATATTATTTTCATTAAAAACTTATACATCAAAAATTCTTTCTATGAAATTAGAATATTTAAAGAACGTGGAAACCTTCTTATGAATGAACTTGCTGATATGAAATCACCTGATATTGTCTCTAAACAAAATAAGGCTGATTTACTTAATTCCCTTTCTTTACGTCAAGAGTTCCTTCCTTTAAAATATAAGGACCTTCCAAAGTATCAATTAATTTAAATCCATTTTTTTTTTTAATTAATACTTTTTTTTAATAGAAACTAAAAAAAAAAAGAAATCCATTAAATAATCTTTAATCATCATTTACTAAAAGACTTAAATCACTTGTTTCTGATTCAAAGAAAGGGACTGAACTATCATTTGAATGTAGATATTGATTTGGAAGATAATACAATAATAAAGAACCAAATACACTTGAAAGAACTAATAAACAATACTTGAAGATTGAAAAAATAATTTTATTAAACGGGAATGAATGATAAATACCATAAATCATTAATAAAATTGAAAGACTAAATCCCCATAAAAGAAATAATCTTTTTAAATGAGTTGTTGTAATTTCTAGTGAATAAGAAACTACAAGACTAAGAATTGAAAAAGAATAGAAAAAGAAAATAAGCATATAATAAGATGGTAAGAGAACAATAGTAAGAGTTGCAAATATTCTTAAAAATGATGAAATAACAAATAAGTTATGAGTAATTGATAATTGCATTGAATGAGAAGAATTTTTAAATGCAAATAAACGTTGGAAAAGAAGAACGTTATAAATTAGTTCATTAAATAATTGGTGATATAAGAAGTATTTAAATGAATAAGGGAGAATCAAATTTAAAAGAACAGAAATATAATATACAATATGAAATATAAAATAACTGACTGAAGAAAAAGTTAATAATGGTAAAAGTGTTATTATTAATATTGGAATTGGTAATATTTTATAAAAAATTTTGGGTATAGTAATGAGTGGAATGGAAATGATGAATAAAAGAATAATTAATTTAACGATATATGATGAATAAGGTAATCGAGATATTCTTGTAGTAAATTGTTCTAGTAACATCAAATTTATTCTTTTTAAGTTCTTTTTAAATAAAAAATGAAAAGAATTTTTCGAGATTATAATCGAAAGGAATAGACAAGTATGAATGAAATATTTAAGAACAAAAATTAATAAAATCTTTAATTTAATGCAGCAACCTCTTTTGAATTATCTCAAAATGATTCAAACAACATCTTTCAAACAAACTCCAGTTCGTACTTCAATGAATAATTATTCATCATTTAATGAATTGAAACGAGAATTAGAATTAAAAGAAACTCAATTGAAAGACTTGCAAAAACGAATTAGCATCTTAGAAAAAATCAATTATATTGATTCATTATTATCTTCATCAATGAAATTATAATAAAAAGAATGTTAAATTGAATTTTGTTTTTATATAATAACAAATTGCAATCCAAAAAAAAGAATGTCTTTTTTTAAAGTTTGCCTATCATTTGAATCATTTTGGATAGTCAAATAGGAAGTTCCTTCAAAAAAGAATTTAAAGATAAAGAATAAAAGTTAGTTAAAATGTTCTTCCTGTATTTATTACTTTCTATTACATGGGGGAAAGTAGTTCAAAAGTCAGAGTTGAAAAAAGATACTTGTGATAGTAGATCGCCAGTTGTGTTAATTCCTGGTTTGATGGCATCCATTATTGAAGCAAAAATAAATGTTGCAGATGAT